TGGTCTTCCTTTCTGGATCAACAAATGTTACATTGAGATGAAACAGCCTGTTTAAAAAAAAAAAGTCTAAGAGTGTTTGACGCTGTAAATCTCTCAAAGAGCACGTGGTTTTTCAAGCTGTCCTAACACATATTGAAATTATTTAATTGTTTTTGGGGGTTAATTACTAAATAGGGTAGCCACAAAAACACACAGCTAAAACAACTGACTGAGCATTACTTAAACTCATCGTTGAAAGTGATTTTAACATTAGTGTAAATGCTGAGAGCAACAGCCTCCACACTGTATGTGATTTAAACACAATTAGCTTCTTTCAGAATGTAAATGAACTGACTCGTCATTTTAAAAACACTCTGAATCTTGTCCTGACATATGGTACATCATAGAAACTGAGTATTTAACAGTATTCCCTGAAAACATGTCTTGTCTGACCATTTTTTAAATTTAAATTTACAATAATGGGAATACATTTCATTACAGTGGAGGTCTCTCTGAAAGTGCTGTAACAAAGTTTAAAGACATGATCCTTGCACTGTTATCTTCAATAATACCATGTACTGACTCATGATGCGAGCAGCTACCTGAATCTTACTCCTTCAGAGACAGATTATCTTGTTACCTATGTAACAGCCCAACTATGACTCAACAAAGCAGAGAAACGTACAGCTTTGTATAAGTCACACCTGTCTTAAAGCAGGCAACTTTTAAACTAGGGAGGAAATGGCATTTCACTAAATTAGAAGACCTTCTTCTGATCTGGAAAAAATACTTTGCTACTCTTTAAAAAGCCCTCAATGATTAGACATCTGATAGAGGAAAACAGTTTCTGTTCAGCAGAGCAGCCAGGCAAAGAGTCAGAGCTCTGCTGACCCAAGCATTCCTTTGACCTTAACTGCTAATGACTTCATGAATTTCTTTACAAATAAAATTAACCATTAGGGGAAAATTCTTCTGGGTTCTGGGCTGGGATCAATACTATTGACAGCACATGCTTCCCTTAGACAATGTTAGTAGAAATAACTGCAAAAACTTTCATTGCTATGTTGATAAAACTCAGTTTCTCATGAAGGCAGGAGATACAAATCAATTACTGAACCTTCAGATGTGCCTAATAGACATGTAAGCCTTGATGGTACTACCTTGGGCTCCAATAACACTGCAAGGAATCTTTGATATATTCACTTATTCTTTCATATATCCTTCAGTGTGCATATTAAAGGTATTGTTACGTTCCCCTGAGGGGTCTAGGCGGTGAGGGGGAAGTAACGAAAAGTGTCCGGGTCAGAAAAAGGAGACAAGAAGGTATGAGGGTTAAATTACAGAGTTTTATTAAAGTAGCTCAACTAAAAGAGACGGACAAGCCGCTATCACCATTTAAGAAAACAAACAAAACTCAGGCGTTGGTCAATAAAGTAAAACGTAAGCCAAAAAGAAAGAGCAGCTCACTAACTGCAAATACACCAAACACTCAGCTCACTAGCTGTAACCACACAAACATACAGCTCACTAGCTGCAACCACACTACTGGCACTCTGGCCCAGAGCTCACCTTTCCCTGGGCTTAAATCTCCTTGATTACTGACGAGAGTCAGCTGCACAAAAGGGAAAGGTGGCACCTCAGGCAGAAGAGGTGGTGGGACACGCCCACACAGGCACCTTCAGGAGGAGGCCCTGCTAGGGCCGTAACAGGTATATATAGGACTACCTACAATGACTGGACTCCTGTAAATAATTATTATCTGCTCGTTCAGAAGCTCCCTGAAAAGGTTTTCATTTGATCCAGATGTTATGGTTGGGCAGATGTGGGGTTTTCTTCTTGGTCTGTCTTTCTTTCTCTCTCTGCTTTGCCTCCCTATGTCCACTCTCGGCCTGTGCTGTCTTTCTTCTGTTTAAGTTTCCTGATCCATGCTTCACCAAGGAGTTCTACAGACATCATCTGAGCTTTGAAGACAGAAGGACTCACCCTCATCTCACCTGCCTCCCCACTTTCCACCAACCCACTCACTACTCCTAAGGTATTGTGTCTGTGTGCCAGCAGTCCCTCTTAAATCCCTGTTCAAGCAAATTACAAGTAAGAATTTTCTCTCACCTCTAATAACTTACAGAGACTTACCTGCATGCACTCTGTCTCCTTCAGTAGAGACTTCCATAAAGGTTGTAGCATTCTAAGTCACTCACCTACCCTTTACTATCTGTTCAATAAACACGTTAAACCCATTAATGGTTGTCAGTGTCTGCTTCTGCAGACACATTTGCAGTTAAATGTTACATCAGAAGGCTGCAGTGAGAATTCTGACAGGGACTAGAAAGAGAAATCCTATTTTTCTACATCGGCCTCTCTTCACTGGCTCCCTGTTAAATAAAGAAGTTAAAATTCTTCTCCTCACATACAAATCTTTAAAGGAGAATTTGAGGTGGAACTTTCAGCTATCAGGTCCCTCTTCTGTCTCCTTGAATTTAATCGTTATTTATTATTAATCTCTGGCTCTCTCAGCATGTCTTCATCCTGTCTTCCTCTCCTCACTTACAGCCGGTTGTTGCAGATGGCCGCCCCTCCCTGAGCCGGGTTCTGCCAGAGGTTTATTCCTGTTAAACGGGAGTTTTTCCTTCCCACTGTCACCAGAGTGTGACATCTGATTGAGAAGTTTTTCTCTGTATTATCAGAGGGTCTATAAACTACATTGAGGCAACTGTTGTGATTTGATGCTATATAAATAAAATAAAATTGAACTAATTTGACCTTAATCGGTTCCCAGTTTGGGAGACAGACAGGTTCTTCACTTTTAAAATTAGGCTTAAAACTTCCCTTTTGATGTAGCCTATAGTAAGGGCTGGATCAGGTGACCATGGACCATCCATTGGTTAGCTGCAATAGAGTTAGGCTCCCAGAAGGCTTCTTCTTCACTTACCTCATCTCATGTTTTTTCCTCAGGCTCAACCGGTCACAACAAATGGCTCCCCCTTTACAATTTTGTGCAACAAACAGTGTTGGTCAAGTTACTTGAAAAAAGTAATCAGTAACTATTTACTGATTACTTCCCCAAAAAAGTAATCCTGTTACTTTACTGATTACTTATTTTCAAAAGTAATTAATTACCTAGTTACTTAGTTACTTTTTAAAAACACGATTTACAACCTGAATAGGTGATAAAGTGATAGATCTTTCAGCCCAATTCTACTTTTTCTGCATAATCCATCATACAAAATGTTATCAAACGGAAAGGTCCCTTTTTAAAACTTGTTTTATTATTTTTAATCTTTTAACTTTATGCATCAAGCAAAAATTTAATTATATGCAACATTCTCTGACTGGAAGAAATTTGTTTAATATTTAAACCTATTTTCTGCACATTCCAGCACATAAAATATTTTTTTGTGTGTGTTTACACTCAGTCTTTCAAATAGATGCAAGTAAAACACAGCAGAAAATAAATAAAATCAAAGACTAGCGGTCCTGTTGCTCTATTTTCACCTGTAAAGCAGGAGTGGGGTAGGTGGAGGTTTACCCTGGTGCAGGTGTGCCGCAGCAGTCAGTGGAAGAATCCACGAGTTTCTCTGTGAATTTCCCATTATGTCGTAGCGCACTCGGTGCTTGCTTGGAAGTTTAGGGGTTTTTTTGCTGTAAAAAGAAGTTTTCTTCCCACGCACGATGGACGCTAATGTTTTTGTCACTTTTTATGGGATCAAACTCAAAGTAAGGTCAGTACTTCCACGCTTTAAACGCTGCACGCTCATACTCTCTCCCACAATTGATATGTGATCCATTGTTGATCTGCACACAGCTGTTGCCACGAACTTCGCACGTCACTGTCATGAGACATTCTCGCAAAAAATCACGGTTTTAGTAACGCAGTAACGCAGTAACGCAGCGTTCCTACGGGAAAGTAACGGTAATCTAATTCCCGTTTTTGCAATAGTAATCCCTTACTTTACTCGTTACTTGAAAAAAGTAATTGGATTACAGTAACGCGTTACTTGTTACTTGTTACTTGTAATGCGTTACTGCCCATCTCTGGCAACAAAACCAGAAAACAGCTCTATTTAAACTACACTAACAAAATGAATCAGAAATTAGTGCATGAGTTTATATTTGCTCTTAAGTTCATAGAGTAAGTATGCTGATTTAAAAGTGTTTTCTATGGAATTAAGCAAAAATATAATCCTAAAAAGAGAAATAAAGTTGGAGGATATTTGATGGAAAGCTTTCAAAAATCTACCAAACAGACCTGGTGGTAAGATTATTTTCTTAGTCATTGTTTCCAAGGTCCTCTTAACAAGTTGTAAAAGCCAGGTTAAGCTCCAGTGAAAAAGCTTTTTATTATTAAAGTCAAAAACAGAAATCCCAACATCTGCAGGTTGTGGACTGATTGTGATGATCATGCAATGCAGTAATAAATTTCAAGCTATTTGTTGGTTTATGGATTACATTTATGTCAGCGGGAATTTATAGTAGAAAAAAAAACTATTACAAAGTAAAACCTGCTTTAGAGAAACATGGACAGAGTTGTGCCTTCACGTTAATTAAATTGTAATCGTCACCAATATTTGAGCCTTTAGCATGTAGTGGTTTTGTTTGTTAACCAAGACAACAACCTGGTGAATTAGAAAAAAAATGAAAAGACTGTTCAAACTGTGAAGCAAAAAGTGAGCCTGATTCGTTCATCCTGCCTCATCACTGCTGGTACCCATCAGTGGAACATGAGGCAAAACTAACCTCGGACTGTGTGCATTCATGAAGGGAAATAACCACATCTTCAAAACCTTGACGCAAAAACCTTTCACGTCATGATGCTGGAGTGTCGTCGGATGAAACATCTGATGACACAGGAGAATGAGTGGGATGTGGTAATGGGTGGGAAGGTGGGGATGGAGATGTGTGTCTGTGTGGGTGGGGTAAGGGGGGGGGGGGCAGATGCTCTGACATCATTTTGGCTCTTATATACCCAGGGAATGGAGCCCACTGTGCTTCACATCCCAGCAGCAGAAACTGCTTAAGTGTGTATAGATCTGAAGAAGAAGAACAAGAAAAAACAAAACAGCAGCTTCACTAAATTGTGTCTCCAGCCTCTCTTTGTCTGTGTCTGGCCCCTAACCTTATGGACTAGATTCCTCCTCAGGTGAATTCTTCAGTGTGGGATCCTTTTTTTGTTCTTTTGGGGTATTTCTTTTCAGATTTTTTTGTTCTGATCAAGATGCAGACACAGTTGGCGTGTATGCTTCTCCTCTGTTTAACATGTGGTGCACTTTGTACAGGTAAGCACTGGTGTTCTTTCAACAGGTTTTCTATGTAGAACTTTATGGATTTATTCACAAAACAGGTGCATCATACTGAAATGTTGCATGCGCATAAAAGAAGGAAAAATTACTGCAAATATTTCTGAAAAACCTTGAATGGCAAAGTTGGTTAAACAGGATGGTTTTGAGTTTGGTCCTTTAGATTAAATACTGAAATAACCTGATTTGTTCTCTCGGGAAAAATCAGAGAATGGCGTGTGACTTCATGACATAGCTAACTTTTAAACCTCGGTTTATTAAAAAAAATAACTGTATAAGTGAAAATCTTAATTTTGCTCAAGGATTACAGCTCTTTTAGGCTACTATAAAACCCCTTTCCCCCTCAAAGATCAATTGCCTCTTCCATTCTTTTAAATCCATGCATAATTTGTGCTTTGTTTAACTGTCAGGGTGCACTGGGACTCAGGCTGATCAATAGTGTCACCTGTTGAAAGCTTAAAAGTGGCCATAGTCACATGTGAATATGGGCTTTTATGACAGTTTCACTTCACCTCTTCCAAACACGGCACAGCAGAAAAAACTAATAATGTAACTATTAATGTAACTTACACTATTGTTCTCATTCTTTGTTTGATCTTATGTTAGGGAAATGAAACTTAATTAGTTTCATTTATTTTACATTAAATGCAGTTTACACTGAACTATTTCCAATACTCAAAATGAGAATGGATTGTTACTAGATGATAGTTACTTTTGGATCAATAACCAAATAAAGGACAACTTTTATGCATGCGCGCACATAACACACACACACACACACACACACACACACACACACACACACACACACACACACACATATATATATATATATATATATATATATTATATATATATATATATATATATATGTATATATACATATATGTGTGTTATCAATAGTGATGAAGATGACCACCATCAGATACCGAGGGCTGGGTTTCTTCACCACTTTACTATTCAAATGTAAATGATGAGAAACTATACTTAATTGTTAATTTAAATAACATTTCATTGAGGACTGAACTAAACTACACTCCAAAAATATTTATGCCCAAAATACTGACTTCTTTAAGTAGTTGGATAACATGTCAATTTTTTTATGTTGTCACACAAGTAGAATGTAAAACATTAAATTTAATGGAATCAGTTCAAATGAAACCGACTGAGTATACATTTAGATTAGACCTAGTATATTTGTTTTAATTATACTGATTTATGTTTATGTTTTATTTATGTTTTTTGTTTATGTTTTATCTTTTGTTTTGTGTTTTTATTTGTGTGAAATCTGAATGTTGTAAAGCTGTTTTTCTGTAACTGACAGATGTTGACCAGGAGCAGCGAGCGCTAGAAGAGGAACTACTCAGCAGTCTCTTCACTTCCAAGGTATCTGGTCTTTTTACATCTGTGATATCAGAGACTGGAAAGAAAAGCTTCATCCTGCCGGGTCGGTCTCTGACCTCGCCGATAAAGGCTTTCCAGGTGTTCTTTCATGAAATCTACATCCACGCTTCAGTGGCAACCTCAGCTTGCGGTTGTGCTCATGCTGAGTGGGAGATAAATAATTTACCACAAGAGGCTTTTTATGCCACTCAGGCTGCCTGAGCATTTACTTTGTTTTTTTTTAAGTCAATTTGCTCTTTTTAAAAGTGTATCCAGTTCAAATGTGCTCAGAAAAATAACAAATAATCACCTTTCCATTTGCTGCAGTGCTTTGAAACGAGGAGAAAATAAGAGCTGAGATTGGGCATTCTAATTCAGTTGTAACCTTGAGCTTTTTATCACATTTATCTGATGTCTGCCTGAGGCTATGCAAAGATCAGGTATGAAATCAGTGAATGTGGAACCAAAGGCACGCACAGACGGATGGCCGATCCTAATAGGATTCAGATGGACCTGGCAGTATAGTTACGACACATCTTTTACCGTTCTTGCTGATGAAAAACTGCGATGCTCACACGGAGACATGACGGTGACAAATCAGCCATTTGATTCATAGCTGCCGATGCTCAGAGGTTGCTCAGGGGTGATGATTGTAATAATAACTTGCTGCATGACTGACAGACTGCTCAAGAGGCTGGAAAGTGCAGTATGGTGGAAGATAGACCTAATTGTGGCTCTTTATCTACACACTATATATTTGACAATAAAATTGACTGATATACTCCTCCCTTCCTTTCATCTGATTAGATACCACGGTTAATGCTCCATTGTGGTTTTTCATTCTCTACTGAATACAACTAAATTACCTTCTTATTACTCTGCATAGTGAGTCACTGACCTCTGTGTTCAGTATCGTTAGTTGTTCCGATCCTGGAATTTAGATTGAACTTTTGCGTCTCTATAAAATGCAAGTTTGTGAACGCTAAAGAGCCCAGGAGACTAACGTTAAGGTAGAAATTTCCAGTGAAGCACCACAATCTTTCATATGACATTACAGCACAATTGCATGGCCACACTAACTCAGCTAGTTTGTCGTTTGTGCATGGGCAATTTCCAAATGTCAGCTGCCTATGTTTGATCCTGACGCTTGTTCATTTGATGCCACTAAAGATTTTATCCACGTCTCCTGCCTGGCAAACAAAAAGAGTTTTCGTCTTTATATTTGAGGATACTTCCACTGGTCATAAATGATGAGTGAGCCTCCCTGACACTGACATCTTTGACTGCAACATGCACGTGACAGCCAGTACACACAGAGGATTCTGGGGGCTCTTTACCATCTCACTGCACTCTAGAGACACTAGATTATAACTCAGTAGTCTCACTCTGTTCACTCTGAGTGCATGTGTCTTTAAGAAATAATAGGTGCTTAGATTACATTGTAAAAGTCTCACATGCAGAATCCTCAGTCCCTTTTTAAAGGAACTACCTGAGTTTACTGCTGCAAATGCAAAATGTACAACATTAAAAGTGAGACTAAGGTGTAGTTCACAATACTGACTGTATTCTGTTTGCTCAAACATAAGCTATGAAATGACAAATATCAAAATGATTAAGTCAGATCGAGGTATCGAATCAACAGTTTGGCTGAATTTTAAAATTATGGCCACAGTTTGTACTTACAGTGTTGAGGACGTGGATTGAGTAATACCTGAAAATGTCGTTTTTCAGTCAGATCATTTCTGTCAATATAAATGTTTCACGAGAGAAAACAATCCCCATTAAACCAAAAAGCTTCTAAACCACCTGAAACATCAGCCTCTTGAGTGGTCAGTACAGTTTTCACTTCACCCAAGTTCACAAAATACACGAAAACACCAACGAAAATATTGCTCAAAGCAGGAATCTGATTAAGTGATGCACTCTGAGTGTTAAAAACCCAACCACTCAATCCATTTAACTGTCTCATCCTGGTATCTTGTGCCCTCTGTGCAGATGAAACAGAATAAGCAGAGTGCCCCCTATTGGCGCGTGTCTCTGGCCAACCTCTGTAAGATGCTGAGCGCCCTGCGCCAGGAGGCGTGGAGTGGGGAGGAGGAGGATGGGGGTCTGAGGGAGGGGAGCCTCCAGCTGCTGGATGAAATGTACAACTTGCAACACATCTGCCGAGTACTGCAGAGCCGGGAGGAGAGGGTCAGACAATCATCTTTAACTTACTTTCTTTTGCTGTGTGGGCTACTTTTCAAATAACAACATTGCATACCCATATGGAAAAGATATATAAATCTTATAAAGTTTGTATCTGTCTTGTGTGAAACTTGTATGAAAAGCATATAAGTGTGAAAACAGATATAAGATCCCTTGAAAAATGATATAATGAAACTTGTATGTTTTGGATACTTACTAAAACAATGTATGAAAGTAATGAGAAAGTGGCCACTTTCATAAGTAATCACATATAAGTTTTTACTATTTCTTTTCCATATGGGAAATTATGGATAGCTAAGGAAATTCTCAAAAGTCCTAATCTCCTACCTAAGCTACTTGTTGAGAAGTAACTGTCAACCAAAAGCCCAGTCAAAACAAATACACAGACTTGTGTACATACACACTTACTCACTCACATCGCCAGAACACACAGGAGTATGTGTGTTCTCCCCTAAAGCAAACACACTTCATTAAATCTCCCCTCTCCCCCACTTCGCCTCCTCATCTCTTCCTCACTCGCTGTCATCGTTTTTCTCTCCACTTTTGGCTCCTCGCACTGTGGCATTTCTCTTTTTTTAAATGTTAACACAACACCTGCAGATTAGCAGTCAGTACCAAAACATGTTTGCCTGCCGCCCGCCCCCCTCACACTCCCTCATGTTGCGTGACACTCATCCTCTGCTGTGTCTCCCTTCACTCCTCACAGCTACTCCAAGACTCTCTAGAGTATTCAGAGGAGAACAGCGACGCTCCACTGAAACGAAAGTCACCCTACATATTGAAGAGGCAAGTGGGGCACATCACTAAGACTCGGCGGCCGTACATCTTAAAACGAAGTACATTTTACTGACATCCCAGAGACCGCAGCACCATTTTAAGGGACCGGACCACATGTTTTGTGTAATTATGTGATTGTGTTTATTTTCTGTCTTCTTGTAGATGCAGTCTTTTTTTTTTCCTGTTCCTTTTTATCCAATCAGACCCTTTGATTGTATGTCCAACAGAGAGGCCTGTCTTTATCCTGCTCCTGAAAATAAAATCCTTAGCATCAAAGAAATAGTGTATCTCTGAGAAACTGTATTTATGTATGCTATTTATTCACTGCAAAATAAATCTATTTTGTTTCAGAAATTAAAGGATTCATGATACAAAACCAGCGCAATGTCACAATCTGCTTTTTCTATTTATGTAATGACTTAGCTAAGTTGTGTCATATTTCATCCTTTATAATACTTAATTAGCATTCACAGGATCACAACCTACAACAAATTACTCCTCTGACCAAACAAAACCAGGAGACACTTTATGTCTCCCTAAGTGTCACCAGTAGCTTCAGTCGGTTTAGCACAAACTCTCCAAGTCTCTGCAACTCTACTTTGACATGCATGGAAACACAGAGTAGAAGCAACACTGTTCAACCGGTTGAAAATTGGTTACTGCAAAGGCCACAGCATATTATTCACCTTCATCATTAATTCAGTCCCACTGCGCGCCATGGATAGAGGTTTTGTCATCTTGGAAAAGATCACTCTCATCAGCATAGAAAAATGTCTCTGTGGACCCATACTGTGAAATCAAACTGCTCCCACGGCATTAAGCCCAGGATCCATATTTTCGCTTTAATTTCTCATCTGTCCTCATTCTTTATCAACTTTAATCTCAATGAACACAATTTAGTTTAGGACTCAGTACTTTATTGTACATAAAATTGTGCAAAAAGATAAGATAAAAGTTATCTTTTCTTTATGCACAATTGGGCTGCTAGATCCTAAATATGGATTGATATGCATTTAGAAAAATCCCAACAAATTAGAAATGAAACACAAATAGTGCCTAAAATGTTAGCTATGCTTAATCATTTTTTTTTTAAAAAAAAAAAAAAGAAAAAGTACAAACATGCTGTTGGTTTTTGGTCTTCCATAAGACCAAAAAGGTTATTCTATATTTCTTAGTATGGAAATATAGAATGACCTTGTTCTTTAGACATCCATTCTTATGTATAATAATGCAATCTGAGATCTTGATTTATGTCTTTTTTTGTTTGGAATTCAAATCAGTCATTTATACAAATATCAGTGATGGAATTTTACATATCCTAAAATACATTTATAATTTGGAAAAAATAGTAGACTTTGCCGGTAGCAGCATTGTTGCAATGTAATTTATTATTAACGGCGTTTGTCTCCTTTTATAACTTTTATAGATTGATGAAAAATCTATAATATAATGAAAAACAGCCCAATAAATGCTGCCACTCTTTGACTTGGGATCCACTTGCAACTACAGTCAGGTCTGAACACTGATGCCGTAATGATTTCTTGATGTTAAAATTCAGCTTGTGGCGCCTTTAATATCAACACATTGATCTTAATAGCATGTGCTATGCTGAGCATTTTTCAAAGGAGCACAGAGGCCCTTTGACTTCAGCAGATGAAATACACCTTTACTACAGCGAATGAGAGGTCTTGGCCTTAATAAATGGCAGTTTCCTCTCTAAATCAAAAAGCTTTGGTGTTCTTTGAAACTTGGTTCTTAACCTTGACAGCCAAAGCACTTGGATGACGTGCAACACACAATCAAACACGCATTTGGGATGGCTTCATCTTGTTGCCTGAGAGAGCAGGTGATGTGAGAAGATTAGATTTGGAGTTTGACGCAAAGGAAAAGCTGTTTTTATTCAAAACACGTTTGGGCCAAACAATTAGGTACAAAGGATTTCTTTGTTCTACAAAAGTTTTGGTAACACTTTTTGAGATGAAGGTAAGTGAGAAATCAGGCACAAAAAATTCATGTTACCATCAACACCTGATATTTCACCTGAACTCAGTCCCCTCAAAACATGCTTACAACACGTAATCCCGTACGAAAAAGAATCAAAAAGCAAAACTGCATTTCTAAGCGGGACAGCTATGTCCAGCCTTGCTGATAGTAAAGGGTCATACTTGGGTATGGACTCATTATTACCTTTAAAAAAGCGTTTCGGATAACAGGGATAATCCCCAGACCCCGATGTGGTCATATTTCAGTGGAACCATTTCTCTGTCAGGGAAAGGTTACAAGAAAATCTTCAAATGTAATTTCTCAATTTTTGAGTACCTAAAAGGAAAATGATGTTCACCTCCTTTGTATTGGGGTGACAGATGAAATATCAGAGACAGATAGCTCAAAGTCCCACATGTGAAACGAAATCTAACTGTGCTCCTGGATACAGGTGGATGTCGAATTTCTTTTTTATGATATTTACCAACTGAGTTCATTTGGTATCTTTTTCTGAATGTAACACAAAAAAGGTAAAAGGTCCTCTGAACTTAAATTACATCGCTGAGATGAAATAATATGCAGCCATCATCGTTCTAGCTTTTCATTCACTCCAGTTACTGCAGGTATTTATCAAGTCAGTTAGTTTTAAAGCTGCCATTTAAACTTTCATACCAAAATTACTGCCGGCGCACCTTTAAACCAGGTAGTTCTGCACAGCTGAATGCCCCAGAATGTTTCAAATAGCTCCATTTGAATACATCAAATACATCAGGTGTAACAAGGAAAGGTCAAACTTTGCATGAACAAAGGTTAAAAATATATCATATAGACAACCTTCATTATTATTCTTTTCAAGTCAGTAGGGGGAAGAGTCACATATCAAGAGAAAAAAAAGAAAAAAGAAAGAACAGTCACAAAATCTTTGTAGAAATCTGCATCATAAAGTGAGAGCATTGGGATTTTTTTGGTCAACTTTAAATTTTAACAGAAAAGTATATGCTGTTTAAGAAAAACTGGAATGATATTTTTTCACATACTATGACACGTCAATGAAAACACAATTCTGTAATTGTAGTTGTAGCTTTAAACTGAAACAGGTTTTGTAGCAGGGCAGTATTGTGGTGTTTTGTGGCCTCACAGCCTCACAGCTGTTAACATCTGGAAATCAGTTAAGTCTACAACCATGCTTATACTTGTTTGAATATTCTGTATAAACAAAAATGTTCAAAGCTTAACAAAATAAGTCATATCAATGCAAGAAATGACCCTGTGATGTTACGTTCACAATTGTGAAGGCTCTTGCGACTTACATTCAGCAACACATTTTAACTGCATGTTTATTTTTAATAAAACGAGTGAAAATGTCAAAGTGCAGTGTTTCTTGTTTGTGTTGCGATCAAGGAAACCTTTTAAGTGATTTAGTTGTGGATATTGTAAAACTAGGAGTTCAAAAAGCAATAGCAATATCCTGCAGGCTTTTACCCATCATGATACATAATAACAGATATTATGATTATATTAAACTGGTCTGTTTCTTGGTTTACTATACTCCAACCTAGCTCCAGTCAGGAAAAATGAATTTCAAAAGATGGATTGTAAACAAATCAAAATGTTTCATTTTGTTAGTTGTGCACATGCACGTTCACTACCAGCAGATGGCAGTACATCACAAAGCTAATCCAGACCACTTATTATACTGGTGTGGGAAGAGGCAAGAAGATGACATGAATCATTTCAAGACTGACCTTTGGTTCTTCTTTAGTAATAATTTCCTGCTTAAATAGATTTTAGTCAGAATCCTGAAATGGTCATTTGATTTTAATTCAGTTCTATTCAGTTAATTCAGTTTTATGCACACAGTGCCAGGTAACAGCAGTAGCCATTTCAAGGCATGTATGTTGTGAGATACAAATCCTGCAGTTATTAGAAAGAGAAGTCTAACAATCACACAACAAATGAACAAGAAATGTTCTTAATAAACAAATGTTGTCTTTCTCCAGTGATTACTACAACTGGTTCATTTTAATCACATTCTGCAAAAGTGTGCTTCCAACTATTAGGAAAGAATGAGAACTTTATTTCAGTGTCAAATAGAGCTCTACAAATTCTCTTTAGATTGGTACTGTTACATCAAGCCTCATAAATGCTACAGACACTTGACTGCTGTGCAGTGCCATGAAACACTATAAGGCTGACAAACCTTTATGGGCCCAAATCTTGACTCTTGGGGCAGGAATAAACTTTAAAACAAGCTTTAATGCTCCTTGGTCCAGAAAATTACAAAGTTCCAAATCCAAAAGATAACAAAGAATCCAAACATCCCACACACGCTTGGGAAACTCAGAGAAATCAGAGCAAGGGAAACAGAAGGCAGTGTGGATGACAGGACAAAGGATGACGGGAAGGCTCCACAATATGTACACCACAAAAAAAAAAAAAAAAAAAAAAGAGTGGTGAGCAAACATGAGGGGAACACGGCAGCTGCCATAAGGCGAGAGGCGGGGTACACCCTGGACAGGTTGCCAGTCTGTTGCAGGGCTAACAAATAGAGACAGACAACCTTTCTCAAATGTTTCTGAATAGAAAAAACAAATGTGGATTGGACTTTTAGCTTTAATATAAAGATAAAGTACTATGCAAAGGCTTTTGGCACCTCAGATGATCAGATTCTTCATGTAATTTTCTACAGGACGTCACTGACTCGAGATATACAACCAGAGTCATACACTATCTTCAACTACAAGAACAAGGACTCCTGTAACAGAAGTGTGGTGGCTGACGTTAGACAGTTAGAGAGCTAAAAGCTAAACACTTTCAGAAACTGCTAAGAAGAACTTCTGCTGTTTAACAACTGGTAGATTAAAGCTCTTTCATTTACATGCATTTGAAATCCTCCTTACTTGTAGAGCCAAAACCTTTCCACGGTATGGTGCACAGAATTCACTCAACAATAAATTGGCCAATTTAAATTTGGAAAATTAACTAGGAGAGTAAATCGGCAGTTATTTACTTTAACGCTCTCTATTTACTCAGTATTGGGCAAACATATGTGAGGGTGCAGCTCTGGCTTTACAACAAGCCTCGCGCTGGAGGAATGCTATTTATCATTATCTCAACATCAGAACAGATCTGTCAGTTTTTGCAAATTTGCAGGCTGCCTCAGCAGATGTTTATCAATATAACGACTCTTGTGACCCTGAAAAAGTTCAGGCTTAGTACACCTCCCACATCCACGGGACAAATTACACCCTGCGTGAATTAATTCAACTCCATTAAAAACCTTCATCGACATCTGCCGCTGCAGCAGTGCTCTGGCCTGCTTGTCTTGGCCTTTCTCCAGCCGAACGCCTCTTCAATTTAACTCCAATTTGGAGTTGGTGGATGTTGG